GTGGGCGAAGCCCCCTGGGGCTGCTGGTGGCCCTGGGTCAAAGCCCTGGCCAGGGTACGACTGTTGGGGCTCTCAGGCAGTGCCTGCCCTGTGCCCTAAGCCAGAGCCGAGGCAGAAAATCTTTTTAAGAGCAGCTGTGAGGTGGTGGTGGCCCCTCGGCCCCCCTTTAGTCGCCGCCCTGTACAGGACCTCGGGCTTCCCCGGAGCTGGGCTTGGCCACTGCTTGGAGAGGAGCCAGGTGGGATGGACAGAAGGATGAGACCCCCCCCGGGGCCAGGGCCAGTGCAAATGGGCTCCCTCCCCCCCAGCACCCACCGCCCCTCCGAGCCCAGCCTGGAGGAGCAAAGCCAGGGATGGGGACATGGGGGGGATTCTTCCAGTGGTTGAGGTCGCTGGAGACAACAAAATTGCTTCACCCCCTTCTTCACGCCCCCCTCTGCCACCAGTGTGGGGCATCAGGTGTCCCCTGCCCAGCCTTCCCCCCCCCCCCCCCCACAAACCCCGGCCCAAGCTGGGGGGGAACATCTAGAAGCTTTATTTCAACCCTTTACAATAGTAAGAATCACAACATCAAATCGGGAAATGTTGCTAAGGAGACGACAGCTTTGCAGCCCCGCGTGCGGGAGGGCGACCGAAAGGCAGGAGCAAACCCGTAGGAATTCGCTCCGCGGCAGGAGGGGGCTCTGCCCCGGCCCCCCAGCCCCCAGAGCCGCTGTCTCAGGCCTTACACCACGCACAAACCCCCCTGTCCCCGTCCCCAGCCCTCGCCGCCCTCCCCGCTGTGGCGCAGGTACAGCCGCGGCGCTCGCCCAGCGCCGGCCGCACTCCTCCTCGGGCAGCACGGTGCCCTCGCCGCCCCGCAGGAGAGGATTCCGCCGCGGAAAAAAATCCCATGACACAAAATACTACTACTACTACGTCACATTTAGAGAGCAGGTGACACGTTGCTCACGCCTCACAACAGCCCAGCGAGGTGAGCAGTAGCGTCCCCGGCCTGCAGACGGGGAAACTGAGGCAGGGAGGTGAAATGACTTCCCGAAAACACCGAGGGAGCCAAGAGGCGGGGTTGGCCCTCCCAGGTCCCACGCCCTCATCTCCAGCCCCGCTGTCCTCGCCGTCCGTCCCCTCCCCGTGGTCGT